TATATATATAAACTCAACCAAAATATTTCCATTTTCTTTTCTCTTGTCTTTTGAATGCATGATTTTATACTGGTTGTGAAATTATTTTTGAGGACTACTGTTCCTTATCGATTCACTTCACTCTGGTCAAAATAATTATCGTGAGTCAAATAATATTACTATTCGTGCACATAGTGCTTCTCATTGATCTTTTGCTATCTACCTCTTTTTGTTATTCTTCACTTTTATTTCTCTAAGGTTTTGGCTAAGGGCCGAAAGGATAAAAGTAATAAGATGATATCAAAGGAGAGAGAAGCCCAGAACAGCCGAGTTTCTTTCAGCTTAGGGTAGTCAAGTTGCATATTTATATCAGTTAGTAAAAAGATTGTGATTATAGTGCATAAAGTGTGTGTGACCCGTCTGACCTCTGGAAAATAAATGCTTTCTTCTCAAACTACTTCATCTCACTAGTCTGCTTATCATTATACTGTCCTATTAGCATATTTCACTTCAGCCAGCTTTCTCTTTTTCATCTCAACACATACCTAGTACGTCTTCAAGGTCATTGTGGATTTGTTGCCACAGGGAGAAAGATTGAATAGCTTGCCATCTGTTCCACCCTTCCCCGCGCATTATTGGAAATTGACTTGCCTTTCTTTACTTCTTGAATATTGAAGTCTTTCATTTTAGAAATTGCTACGATGATTAATATTTTTGTATGTATGTCCATTTTATAATCAAGGAAGGAAAACAAACCGATTTACTTTTTGCCATTTGCAAACTTGTCATGATTACAGCTGTTCCTCTTCTTTTCAGTTTCTTTGTTCAGTCACATTAAGATAGGTTGGTTCTGATGCTATTTTGCCGAATTTAGGTCCTTACTTCTCACAGGTTTTCATGTCAAGTTGCTGCAGTAGGGAGTGAAATCGAAATACAGCATACAAAATTTTAGGGATTCTTGCACCCCATTTTTTTTGTTCCCTGTAGATCAGAGGTCAACACTGGCAGAGTAAACAGTCGATATGGACAAGCCACAAGCAATTTATGGGTCTTTTTGGTCGGACAATTGTCAGATCTCAGAATAATTAATCCTTGTGAACTACGCAAGACACATAGAGGAACGAGGGGAAAGTAATCGATGAGATGGGATGACTAGGAGGAGATATATGTAAAAGGTGCATGTTTAGATAAGTCAATGGGCGGTTCTCATTGCTAAGTGGTTGAGTAGGTAGCTAGTGGTCATTTGGTCAGGAGTTCAGTGTCGATGGGGGTCAGTGTGAGGAGTGGGGTGTTTTGATCTACGTGGCTTGCTCGAGTGAGGCATGTTTGTCATGAGCAACTTTGCCTTCGTTGAAGGTAATTGGTATCAACATGGCTCTGCTGCTCAAGATAGCTGTGCCCTTCTAGAACTCCCAATTGTATATCACTGTTTGATTCTTCATAATATCTATTCTTTCTATTTTTGTTACCATGCATTCTTTTATAAACAAATAAACTGCTACGTGAATTGTATCGTCCATGTTGTACATTGCAGTTTTCAGACAGTTAACATTCATTTGGGAAAAGGAAAAGAAAGTTAATTTTTTCGGGGGTTGTTGCGCACACACCTCAGTTGCAATGAAAGGTCGTTACTAAACTTATTGAATAACATGAGTGCGTTATGTACTAGACGGAAAGAATGAAAAATCCTAATATTTTACTTGAAATATTAGGCGCTACTAATGTTACATTTAGTTTCAAATAAAGCAAACATTTGGTGCAGCCGATTGATTTTCATAAGCGTTGTGACGGTAGACTCCAGCCTTAGCTTTTACTTGCTTTCCCTGTATCTACTGATAGGTTTTGATTTGGGTCAGCAACACTGTAAGTGCATCATGTTTCTTCTTGCATTATTTTAACATGAAGTGGTGCGCCAAATCTATGAATGCTCATAAAATTGATACGATTATGTGGAAGATTTGGTACGATTGTTTAAAAGGCCCATTAAATCGGTACTAAACACTGTTCTCACAGTATGATGCTCCAGTAAATTGAGAAGTGATAACTTGTGATTTTCTTTAAAAGCAGTTATACATAGTGCACTTGCATATGATCTTATTAAATTTTATTGGCAGAGGAAACTTTTAATTTATTTTAACATGTGCTCTCGTAATGCGAGTGAAGGAGTATCCCGTATCTTTACAACTGAAATTACCAACCATAAATAGACCTCACGAGCATTCATATTTAACATACAGCTTGTTCGTGTTGTACATCGATTATACACAAGTTCCTTGATTTATATCGTTGTACTCGTGCTCACAAATTATATACGAGTTCAATATATATATATATATTAAGGCCTTAGACGAATAGAACTTGCTAGAGCACATGACTAATCTTAAATTATTCTCCCATATAACATACTCGTAAATAATGAGGATGAAAATTGGATATCATTCACGGACGGCTCTTTGCTTCTTTTTCGTTGTTACCCGTTTAATCCTACTCAGCAAATTTTTAAAAACTAGCGAACATCAGATTTGAATTATTTTGTCGAGTTTTGTTCCAGTTTTCAGTGGAAGGGGTATGATAGCTGTTTAAAAGCCATTTTAAACGCAATCATTTTCTTTAGAATACTACTGCTTCAAAGTTTCCAAATCTGGAGAATACATCATATTAAATTTCACGTTGAATCATAGGTTACCGAATCACAGGTTACCGAATCACTGAAGCTTAATTTTCCACGGAAAATGAGTACAGGAAACATGGTAGCTATCTGTTATTTGTTGTAAAAATAGTGAGCAATTGTACGTATCGGTTGTTGTTTGCGCATAATTTTCAACTCATATGGCAATTAGTACAGTACAAAATAATAGGTTGAGGTATAGGTCATTCAATTTAACAAAGAAGAAAAAGGTCTGCGGTATTTGTTGACATATGCAATTATAGACGCACGAATTGAAAATTTTTCACGTAGCATCAACAGAAGGTTAGAAGTAATTCAATATATTTTAAAAACTCATAGAGATCAATAGTTGTGGAGGCTTGTGGAATGATTCAACATCTGTCTTTTTTTCTGCTCACGAATTAAGTCACGTACAAATTCACCTTTAAGAGCTTTCAAGCACTTGCGGTATGTTGCTGATAGACGATAATGTGCCACTTCGATGGACGGTAGATGTGGCTGATGGATGATGTATGCATTAGGCAATACGACGAATTCATACCTGCAGTAAATAAATGTGTAATGGGAAAACGCCGAGCGATTTGATTTCAGCCTTTCCACGATTAAGTTCTTTCTATTTTTTAAGAATAAACCATTTTACTTAGCAGCATTGAGTGACATTATGTGGGACACTTTGTTCCAGCCGAAACCAGCAAATCGTTGGTCATACAACGGCAGTCGACTGCGCCTTACCACGATATAAGGTTCATAATCATTTCTCCATGGTATCTATGAGTATATGAAAATCTCACACGAAAAAAAAAAAGAAGTAAATGCTCGGCAATCTTGTAAATTAGAAAATTATGTGTACCGAATATTCTTGCTCTGCATATCTCCAGTGACTGTAATTTGTAGCAGCGTGACCTTGAATCCATATTTCTTGGCGAAAAATTTGCATGCGTCGTTTGTCAATTTCTAACAGCAAGTCATTCTTAGTCTCTGGAACAATTGGAATTCCACTGCCTATATATTCGAAAGCTGGCACTACATATGCTTTTTTGGTTACTATATTGCTTGTTAGTAGCTTTTGACACAACATGGAATACAGTCCTGAAATGCTGGAAAATAATGATAAAGTTGCATGAACCGCAAGATATGATTGAAAGTTGACAGTCATTTTGCGCTCGGAAGACAGACTTATCTACATCATAATGTCAGCAATATAAAGTGATATATTTCTAAAACTAAATCAAAGAGGTATGACCGAAGTAGTTTTCACCTGGTTTAGGTATGAAGTCGACATCAATCAAAAACACAAATGATGCATCGCTGCTGCTATTTAATGCAACATTTCGAAGATAATTTATGGGATAGTATATCTGTAAAGTAAAATGAACAAATGTATACAAAGTATCAGAAAACTGACATCATCTTGAGCAAAACTAACGCCTTCTTTATAAACTGCATGTAATGCAACATTCGTTCTATTTGAAAATGTATTTGTGTCTTCAAAATATTGAAGGAGTTGCGAAAGCTCGAAGTCTGATACATAAACGGCAGCCGATACAGGTCCATCCCAATGTTTTAAGAGCATGTCGAAATGCATCAAGCGATCCATGCTGAACTGTGTTATCAAAACAATATTCCTTGTAATCACCTGTCCAAAATGAGTTCTTTAAAAACAGTATTTGTTCTTGAATAGTTAAAAAGTGTCATCTGCATTTGTAAAAGTGAGGAATGACTTGAAACAAATTAATAAAATGATGTGGTATTTATTTGGATTTAAAATGCAGAAAAAGGCTTTTGAATTGTTATCTTACTCGATATGCGCATTAAAATGAAGAGAATAGAGCGATTGGCAGATTATGCTATTACGCTTCAAATACATAAGCAATGAATTATCATAGCTTACTGAATTTTGTCGCTGCATTATTTAAATATATGTTTCAAGTTTCTTTTGGAAACTTACGGTTAAGTTACAGGGAATTATATATAGTAAAGTTCGATATGTTATCCAGCGCATATGCCGAATTTTAGCGCAACCATCATCGTTGTCATCATATTCATACACGTTTGAAATAGATGAGTACTTCTGAACCAAACTTTCCATATGATATTATAGTTATTTGAAGGAAATATAACAGAATCAATAAACTTGCACTTCTAATATTTGTAAATGCAGTAATTCAAAACATAGTGAAACCAAAATCTACAGAGACAGTCTGTCAACGAAGAACTTTTTGACAATCAAAACATGCAATTTTGTAAAATAAAGTGTAAATAAGCTCAAACTTATTACTGGTTATTTTTAATTATTTACAGATATAATTTTTATATTGCATAAGAGCAAAGTATATATTTAATTATCTGTATGAAGTAACTATAATCTAAGCAGAATATGCATATGCATACAGCTGTAAGTAAAACATGTCATTTACTTTCCGTGATTGAAAGAAGCGATAAGAGAAAACTAACAGAATGATCTTGACAGCGTAATCTATTAGATCGAAACATATTGCCTTCCATGTCTTTCATTTCATTGTAATACCGACGGAAAAACACTGCATAGCGATTCACTGTTCTCATTTTGAGCGGCGAATTCCAATGAACCAACTTAAATTAAAGTTATGGTCTTCATATTTAAAAGCTTAAGACTATATATGAAAAAACTTTTTGTATGTTAACAAAATTAAGTACCTTCAAATTAAAAAATTTTACTGGGCATAAGCTTTGTTGTGATTGAAACCCCAACTGGAAGTTCCATTCACAGGAAATTCGTTGTACGATCCATCGATGACTGTTTATGAATGCATTGATTATATCCTTAAAAGATGATAAATTTGTATTCATTCAAATGATAAAATCTTTCCTTCAAGACTTAGAAGGGACTCTTGAAAGCAAAACTTCACTTGACAGAAACACTCTCCTTAATTTATTCTCATAAAATGATTTTAGCCAATGATATGGATAATTTTCACTGATAAAAGAAAGAAAAAAAAATGAAGAAGCAGTGATTTTAACATTGATTAAACTTTCTTGATCTGCCAATTCAGCTAAACCGTAATTATAAATGTTTTGCGATGCAGTTTCATTCCATAAAAAAGTCCAATTCATATTCCTTAGCTTTGTTAGGTCTAATAACATTACACCGGTATTAAAGCCACGATCCTGAAGTTTTCATTTTTTTCCACATTCATAAACTTTTTACTCAGTGAATGAATTGAAACCACTAAACTATAGTTTTATTATGCAAAGCGAGAGAAACACAAGTGCTAATGAATAACAGCTTAAAACGCAAGACAATTAATGCAGCATTTCTGAATTTCGTAGGTCTGAAAAATTTACCCATGCTGGCCAAACTTTTCTTTGAGATAAACTTGTATTGGTTAGATACCAGTCTGATAAATTTTCAATTAAACCAATAGCTTGTAAAGTACTCATCTTCGAAAAAAATGACCACAACTGACCAATATCATCCATAACTAAGGTGTCCATATCAAGTGTAATAACCTGAAGAATATTAATAAAGCCATAAAATATACAAATTAATTTCAGATCCTTCCGGAATAAGTGATAGAACTAATAAAAATAGTGCGCCTTGTCAAAAATAAAACTGCTAGGTTAGATGCATTCACTGTCAAATTCAAATTTAAATGAAGCTACTAAGAGGTCTCTGTAGCACAACAGTTTACCTCAAAGTTTACTTCAAAGTGTTTCTTCTTGAGCTGTCAAAAACACATTTCTAGTTTCGCTCCTCTCTTTAATTAACTGTGTACTACAGCAAGAAGTAAAGATTTGATTTGTCAGATTTTCAGTTAAGTTTTTAATATTTTGTAGAAATTTTTAAATCAGGTTTTTTAATACAAAAGATATTGAAGACACCTTATTGACATCAGCAGGCAAAATTTCGTGTAATATAAGTTTCAGAAAACTGTATTTACCAGAATAATGCCGATTCGGAATCCATGAAATCCGACTCATAAATTGTGATGTATTATAAAATATTACTTTAACTGTAAATAAAATCAGAGAATAATAAAATGAAAGCTTTCGCAATGTTAAGAACAAAACAATGATGCTTATTTCAATAATTTAAAATTTTTTTAAAGTGAACAGTTGCTCAATAAACATACTCCGATAAACAAAGAAAAATGTTGCTAATTTATTTACCATAAGGAATTCTTGCTTATCAGTAAAATGAAGATCAAAAAGAAAATACCCTCTGGTAAACGCCATGTAACAAATAGCATGGATATTATTCTCCTGGCAATATCATCAGCAATTAAATGAAAAACAACTTTTTGTTGGCGATAACGAAGAATACTTTTAGCAAGCGTTGATAAAGAATAAGCCCATTGGGCGTCTCCACAAACAATCAAAGCTAAATGTAGAACCTAAATGAATTATACTGCTTCATTTCTTCAAAGATTAACTAATTGTTAAAAGAATGACAGAAGGGAAGTTTAGCACTTGGCAATGATCATGCCGAGACTGATTGATTTTTTCACTGTTTTCTCCACTTGCTGGTGTCATAAATTCGTCAAATATGTTGTAACTTCTCGTATCTGAATCAAAATGCCATGAAGAGTAGAATAATCTAGTCTGTTAAGTCTTCTGAGTAAAAATAACTGGTTTTATTCTTTTAATAATAATAATGGGTTATGTCAAATCCAGAAGAGCGAGGGCAGTGACCCAACAAATGCACTAAACACTCTCTTTTTCAGTAATCAATCTTAAAACTTAATAAGTTCTGAGAGTAGTTTACTGAACCAGAAACAATCACATAGACATTTTGCAGAAAAAATTGTTATAGAAAGAAAAAAATTTATTTAAAAAATAAAAAAAAAAATTCAGACATTAACAGTAAACGAACCTGCGATCAGTATTGAAAAATATATTATCATACAGAGAGCCAAAAGAGATGTCCATAAACAACGTGCGCTAATACGTTTTCGTCTTTTCTTCATGCTTTATTCTGAAAATAAAGTTTACATCGTAAGCTTACAATAAGATTATTATCAAACATCTTGTGGAAGGATTTACACATGTTTCATTTCAGTATTTTTATGATTTTAAAATGATGCAAAAAAAGTTTCAAAGCAAGCCTATTTTTTATGCTTTTCAAATTGTTTGGAAAAGATTAACTCGACGTAATAGAATATTTTTGCCGAATTCATGCAGAATAAAAGTGAATTTATGCAGTCAGTACTGATAAAGCTGAGTTTGAGAGATTGTCATGATAGTGGAGTTTTTATTATTTAGAGTTAAAATATTCTATGGATCACATCTATTATTACTAGCTATGTAGAAATTTTTGTAACTAGTATTGATACTATACATGCTATGATTAATAAACCAATATTTACTTAAAATTACGCATTCCTATGACAATATTATGCTGAAGTAATAATCAAAAGTTTCTGGCACTTTAAATCTGATATAAATCTACAACTCCAGAATATCTTCACATTTTTGAAGAGACTGAAAAGGAGTAAATATGAAAGCTACTGATTACATCGAAAAGTCTTCTTTAAGCATTACCAACTCGTAATTGAATCATATGCATTTATATTTTTAATATTCACAACTTTTTAAGCAGTAAATAAATTACTGGAAGAAAATGAAGAAAATCTCTAATTAAACAATTACGCTTGTTACTTAATACAATGTCATGGATTTGAAAAAAACAAAAGATTCTGAAGAAGAAAATAGAACCCCAACGAGTTTTTCTGAAAGATTTTTTTTTCAAATTAAGCCATAGAAATCTGTAACATTAAAAGTAAAAAAATAATGACAAAATTTTTTTCGTAAATTGTAGATGCGAAAATGATGATGAATGATTTTTATCATCATAACTTGCACAAGTTCAGTAACTATTTTCAGTTATTATCAATATTAATATTTCTAGTTTTTTAATTTCACAATTTAGTTCGCTCAACTTGTCAGTTAAACATTACTTGTACCTTAATCTTTTTACTACCAATTTTCGCGATCTTGCAAACAAGCTACACAAATGATGGTCTGTTTTCTGTTTTCCTAACCAGTTTCTTTGCACATGGTTTTTCATGATGTAAATGGTGAAAAAAAGGAATTATGCAAGAAAGGTTTCTTTGTATTTATACAACCTATTGCATAATAAATATTAAAATATTTCGCTTCACATTTTACTGATATCAATTTGTACAAAAAAAAATGATATAAAAGCAATCTTCGCTCTATTTATACAAAAGCTTTTTACGTACGACCGTTTAGTTTGACATGTAAAACTGTTTGAGCTCATTTTGATGAGATTATAAAAAGTTAATAAATGTTTCAGGATTAAAAAAAACCGATCAACAAAATAACCATCTGAAATAAAATAAGAGCTTAATTATACATGCTTTCTTAAATCCTACTTATTAAATATAAGAATTAGCAATGTTGAACAACACTCTATATAAATTATTTAAGTAATACAGTTTTCAGTATGAAATTTTTGATAATAACTAATGATTTCATGATTAAAAATTTTGCTGCTAATGAATAGGCAGATAAAGAAATCTCTGAAGAGTAAAATGTTTTGTACAATTTTCAACTAAATCAAAAATATATGAAGCGAAAAAGCTGCTAAACAATCATGACATCAACAAGAAAATTTCGTTGCCCTGAAAAAACAAAACTTTAAGGCAAGTACTAGTAAGTCACGCAAATTATCAAAATGGATGAGAAAGAAAATCACAAACTTGCTTAATACATCGACAAAAGTTTGCAAAGAACAGAGTTATTTTCCTTCAAAAATAGAAGTTTTATTATTAAGGGAACAGAAATGCTTTCATTTCAAATGAAATTTTGCTTAGCATACTGTATCTGTCTTGTAGCAGAGATCTAACACATATATCCGTTAAAATACTGTAAAATGCATGAATGCAGTAACTTTCAATTTTTAAAGAATCCCACACTGACAATAAGTCAAAATATAAGAATTTAAGGCTTAGATTAAATTGTACCACAATTTGAAATTGAAAAATAGAAAAATTTTGTATTTTTAACACAGAGATGAATGTTGCATAAATCATGAAATATTATACAGTTATTTGCTTACTTCCGAAAAGTAAATGGGACAGGAATAAGATATCAATCAGATTTCAACAAAATATTTTATCACAAGAAAAAGATAAATAATGAGTTATAACAAATCCTTGCCATTGATTCTGATTCTGGATAGATCCATAAATGAAAATTTCAGAATCATAGACTATTCTTCGAAATTAGATGCGTAATGATAGCAATGCTGGATTGTTATGATAAATAATTTCTTTACGCTATAATATTTCATGAATGAAACAATAGACAGATAAGTGTAAACTGAATAGTCTGGTCGTTTATTTGATAGCGAAAAGTATCACAAAAGAAAATAGTAGGTGATGGAAGAACAAACTTTTTTGATATTATGTAATGTCCTCAGAATTGGGGAGGAGGTGAAGACCATTATACGAGCACAAGCAATAATGACGATAAAAAAAGCATTGAAAGGAATATTGCTTGGGTGCACATGCACACATGAGCTCACATACACGAAGACAAACATGCATAGACACACACATTCACATGCATACAAGCTGATGGACATGCAGATTTATTATACACGCAGACATACATACGCATATTTTTCCATTTTTCCTCGTTACTAACTAAAATTGTAATTATTCAAGGATTCATCAATGACCCAGAAAGAAATCGATTGGACACTAATAAATGACTTGGAGCAATCTCTTGTCCACCATTTCATCTGTTTTTAAAAAAAATTTCAATCCCCTTCTAAAAAGTGGAAACAATTATATTTTAACATTATTATTCAGGATTGAAATGTCTAGAAGCGGTCAGACTTGGGCTTATTTTATTAACTATTTATGAGTTATTCATCAGATGAAGGTATACAACTTTCACGAAAGCAATCAAGTAACATTTCCGTATATTTTTCTATTTGTGTTGTGCTTGCTCACTTTGCACATACAGCGAACGTCTTGGATGATGCTCATTTCAGTATTGCACTTCATGAATTTCCATTTCTTTTCTCTTACATCATTATTGTTTGTGGAAAAATGATTATAATTCCTAATACGGAAATTCACTACAGCATAAAGATTAAAATTTGACGCATTGAATATCAGTTGTTGTTAATGCTTTATGAATTGAATCATCTGGTATAACTAGACTAAATAACGCGAATTATTATCAATTTTTGGCACTTTTACTCCATTTTCCTGCTAAGGTTTGAAATACTTCAGCTGAGTGTTATGAAAAACATACTAAATAAATGTGAACACTATATTTTTATTTTTCATTGCTCTCTCATTAAAGCATAGAAATTTCGCTGCTGAACAATATTTCCTTCTAAAATTTTGTTCATGCATCATATTCTAAATTTTTTTTCTTGAAACAATTTCAATTTTTTATCTTGCGAAAATAATGATAATGACAGAAATGATGACGGGACAAGCTATTCAGACAAAAACAAAGTACTTCTCAAATCTCAATGATTGATATCATCTTTTCAATCATCCATCAAGAAACATCGTTAGTCTTTGGACTTTCCCTCTCAAAACAGTGCTTTCTTAGGTAAGAAAAATTTGATAAAGAAAAAATTGTGCAGCATTTGCCATAGAATCGAATGGTAAATGACTAGTTCCAAAGAAGTTGTCTATAAAATGTTACTCACAGTGGAACAGCGGCACAATCTTTTTCATTATTCTAAGTATTCAACAACAAAAACAATTAAAGACAAATATTAACTGGCGATTTTCTTATTGACCAAAGATAAATGACAGATAGATGGACTGAAATACGCGTAGAACGATGTTGAAAATCCGCATGTCTCTGCAACAACAACTTATCACCATCGTATTTTGCATTTCCCCATTTATTGTTTCACTCACATATCCTGCAAAGTTGTTGTTTCTAATTTCTATGAAGAATACAATCATTTTAATAACATCTACTATAACGATAGCAACTCTTGGCAAAATCACTGAAGCTCTTCCAAAAAAACCGTATTACTGGAGTGAGTTAGTATATTTTATTTACAGTTAACCTCTAGTTCATTATGAAACTTTTGAGCATGAAATTAGGCAAGTTTATCATTCAAAAAGTAATTTTTTGAACTTGCTACTCTTTTTTGTGCCTAGAGGTGGTTTTGCACGCTTTCTAAACATCTTTGCGAGAATGAGTTCATATAAGAATCATATTCATCTCTTGTAATTATCTCAGGCTTAGCTCATGGTTGATTATATTTGATAGAAAACACTGGATTAGACTGCAAAATGAATGACTGACTTAAAGATACTGCTTTTTGGGAGAATTTTTTACTTTACACTTTGTGGATTTTAGCCACTCGGAAACTTGAATGTGAATCTATTCTGGGTCATCGGGTGTCACGATGTGCTTTGCGTAATTCAGAGTCCAAACCTGAACTTAATCCTATGTGTCACGAGAAAATAGATGAAGTTTGTCATTTTCATAAAATTTTACCTGAAACCTAGAAAATCTACCTGAAACTGTATTTTACGAACTTGTTCTACGTACTTACAAGCACTGTTCTATATGCTTCACTATAAACATGTATTAGCAGAAATTTTAGAACATTTTGAACTTTTTTAGGTTTACTTTAACAGTGGATTATTTGACCAGTGCATTGATTGACCAAAAATTATTAGGTAAAAAATGAAACAAGAATCTACTGCCGTATAATGTGCGAGGAATCAGATGACACCACGGTATTGAAGAAAGTACCATCATGGAACCATGCATGCAATATCTACTATAGTTATATGTTGGAAAGATTTCGTGAAGATTGGTTCGTCAACTTAATTTTTCCATTGAGAGATTTTTCCAGTAACACAAATCAGTTTCAGATGCATAATTCTTAAATATAATCAAAAATATGCTCTACCTTCTCTCTCAATTATAATTTCTTAGGTATTTATGGCGTTCAGGAGACTGTCTTAATACAACAATAACATTCGAAATTCGCTGTGGTTTTGCCCGTGATTCACGGACGTTTTACCGGCAAAATCAAAAATTATTTGAATACGATGATACAGAAGACGAGCAGAAGCGAGCAAGAAATTGGAGAATCGCCTTCTCCTAGGAATATTTTTTTCTTGCTAATACTGGTTGTAATTCGAGTTTACGAAGTATTGGCGCTTTAACGTGAAAAGCTGATGCGGCCATGATTTTTCAATATATCTGCTATCACATGCAAACAGTTCAGATGGTTCATTATGTTATTTAAAAAAATTTTTTAGCATACTCATTCAAATGAAAACGATGGTAAAAATTTGACATGAGCCTTGATTTCTGAGAATGTAATAAAGTTTTCTTTACAGTTGGTGTTTTGATTGTTCACAAAATTCGAAAACAAACATTTTTTCTGCGAAAACGTCAGACAAATTAATCTGTAAATGAAATAATTCATGGATATAAGTTATTTTACGAGACTTTATTGAAGAATAATATCGCTGACTGTGATTGAATAGTGAAGTTCGTACAGATCTAAAGTGCTGGCTTTTTAAAAGTTATAAAATGTTCCTTTAAAAGTTTTTAAAGCTCGCTTTTTCCTTATGGGATTTTGTAACAATCCTCTCATAAAGCATATTCAATATTGAATACTGTATTTTTGTTTTGCATAGTAAAACAAGAAATCAAGACTACTTAATCTCTAGTTTTGGAATGTAAAAATCTAGCAGAAAATTTAATTTGCTGTTTTTAAAGGAAACTATCATGAAATTCATTTTGTTGTTGCATACTTTTTCTGCGAAAAATTTATTATGAATAACAAATGAAATTATATTCAAACAAACTTCATGTACAACAATTTTGAACCACTAATGTTGAGTATGTTAGTTCTGACTTTCGATTGATACTTTCACAAAGGCACTGGTGTGGTGTGACCTAAAATGCCGGCTCTTTATATATTTTGCTGCGTTGTAATAAAAACGCATTATTAATTTTCAAACATATATCAGTGCTAGAAATGTTTTTCTATACAATTTTTTTCTCTAAACTTACTCTGATCATACAAAGCGGTGTGAGTAAACTTGATATATTCCAGTGTTAACCACTGTAATGAACTCAGTTGACAAAATAGCTTATCTAGATAGGAATCCAAATTGACTTCATGCTCTCAAAAGCTAATTAGTTTTTTTTTGATATCTCATCAAAAACAACTTCAATATAAAAGGACCGTTTGCATCAGCAAATAAACTGGTTGACTTCACATTCTTCATTCTTGCAAGATCTTTGAATATAAAGAATAAATGATAAATGTTTACAATATTAATTCATTGCTATAACAGGGTTTTTAATCTATTTCACACTTTACTATATTATTTTTCTTAACATATAACAACTTCCATGATGCATGAAAAATCAAAATCGTTCTTTAGCGTTGTCTTCTTTATTTGATGTATACTTCTCACGAATTAACATGAATCTGGAAATTATAAATATATAATAAACCTCCGCACTGCGTTTGTGGGAATTAGCCACTAAGTCATCACATACAGAACTGTTTTCATTCTGCATTTCATCTGTACACCAATTTGTCAGCCATTACATTATGTTTTCGCTTATCGGTCTCCACTGCTGTCTTGACAAGTGGCGCCGACCTCTATCAGCATTACTTCTTCGTGTCACTTTATCGCGCACCAGATGTTCGCTCGATTCGCATTTATTCTACCGCTGGACACTCAACTCTGCTAGTTCTGATACCCAGGCCAAATGCTCTCTCCTATCCCTCGAGAAGCTCTTATTTACAACTTCATCTGTTTTCCCATTGTTCTCCATTATTATGCCAGATTGTTTTTTTTTCGCTCACCCTCTATTTACTGTTTTGTAATACAATTTATCCTCTCGCCAACTCGGTCAAGCGTATACATATTATACTTACATACTTATATCTCTGTATCATACTGAAACCATAGGTTTTTAATAGTAGAAATGAAACGATTTTCAAAAGGCTCAACAGAGAACTGGTTGCATGTTCAGTATAACCACTTTGAAATCAAGTAAGGGATGTAGTTTTCATAGCGGATCTTAAGTTAAACTACTTCATGTCATTACGTGTTTGTTAATTAAAGCGAATATAACTTTCTGGCAGATTTGGAAATAGTCACTGTTGCAAGTTTCTTGGTGGTGAGCGGTTCTTCATCATCATCACACAAAAAGTATCTGCTAAAATGAATCTGCTGAATTTTTTTTAAATCTATGGAAGAAAACATTTCAGAAACTTCCAGAATCAGTTACCAAATGCATTTTAATTCGTCATGAAACTCCGCGACTTAATTCTGTAATTCACAAAGTACGATGTTTCTTTTTGACTTAAATTGTAGATTAGCTGTAGATCAAATTACGGGGATGATACGTCTAGTTGATTATGATGACACTGATGAGGAGAGTGCTGACGATCCGCAGTATATATCTTCAAAAGCCTTACCGTCGGAAACTCAGGAAACGTTTAATGGTTGTGATCCAGTGGGTAATGATGGTGCTTCATTAGGTAACGTTCCATTTATTAAATGATTGTAAGATTAGGGAATCAAAGAATTCAGTCATTTTATAACCATGTAATCACGTTTTATGTTTGTGAGTGTATGTCATGTATGATGTACCGTATGTCAGGATTGGTCTAATGTCAGGATTAATCTTACTTGTGAGAAAAGTTATTTCAACCTTTGGAAGCTTGGAAGAAGTTCTTCCATTTAATGGCATATTGCACAATTTTCTTCAATATTGTAATTGTATTTTAGAAGTTTCGCAATTACTAGCTTGTTTGCCTTCTTCAAAAAATTCGAAGAACATACCTGTGCAGCAAGAACTAGAATTGGAGGATTTGGTAAAGCGAAAGGATTGGGAGCTGAAGCTAGCTGAAAAAGTTGAAAGAAAACGGAGAAATCCTCATCGGCATCATAAAGAAAAAACTTCGGAAACAGTCGGTTCAAGGTTTCCTTTGATACATGTTTAGTCATATAAATTTTAACCCATCTAATTTGGTTCTAAGACATCTGATGTATCTTAGTTTCAATGTAAGCTTCTTCAAAGTAGTCTCATATTTTAACTTCATTTCTAGTGACAAATCTTTGCCTGCTAAAAAAAATCCGAAAAAAATGGTTGTCATACAAGCTTTTGGAGAATTAAAAAACTTAGTTGATGATATAGGAGAAGAGTCGCACAATAAGTCGGATAAGGTGATTATTTTTTCAAATATCCACAGATTTGCGAATTTGCATTTTATATTATGTTTGTTTCCGTGTAACTTTGATTCTATTTTACGGATCACTCAGATATTTGATTTTCTCTTTTTATTTTTCCAAAGTATTGCTATTTACTACTATAGAAATGTCAGCTGTACTACCCAGTCGCTGTACGTTAACTCGTTGCATTATGTAAATACATTCCAGTTTTTTAGCCGCCAAATTCAGTTGTACCTTCATCATCTTCCCTTCTGTCAGCTTTACCTGAGCCAAAAGTTTTTCTCAAACCGAGGAAAGATAGAGATATTGTGTTTGAAAGCAGTATCTGTTCTGGGAGCAATGGTAAAAGATCTGAAGTGAGTATTGCTCATTGTTTTTGCTATATTTGTAATTATTACAAACTACGGTTTTGGATTTCACTCTCTTCTACTCTTCCTTTGCTTTTTAAGGTTGTACGAAGTAAGCAAATTTCCAAGGATAATACATGTGAGCAAAATGAAGGCTGTGAGGTATCTGATGACGAATGTGACGTAACTGACTTTTTCGGCATCAAAACTTCCGATGATCCTTCTTCGTTGTGCTCAACTTATTCTAGTCAATCTAGTGTTGATCAGAATCAGGTTTTTTGTCTTCTTTCATTTTTTACTTGCATATTTCTTCACGTATCCATTTATGTTTTGTACTTTTTACTCGAGTTCGTAGTCGTTTCAAATAAATAAAACATCCTATAAGTTTTGCAATGTATTTAAATTATAATTAGAGTGATTAAAAATTGGGATTATTTCAAGGAGTTTTTAAAAATCATGATAAAAGATTTCCTTAAATAGCATCAAAAGCCAAATTGTTGACTTAATAGCAATGCTGGTCATTATGGTACGTTACACAACTCACAAAATTGTTATATTCAGTGTACAAATACAGTTTAATTGACTTTTCGTCTATTCAGATATTTGATAAATTTATGAATTTCAGATCAGACTAGTCCTTGATGAAGAAACGGAAGAGGATTCAACTAATTCATTTCTGCTCGATGAAACGGGTTCTGAGTGTCATAGCGAATCTATTTCTTCCTCATCTGGGGAAATTGATAATGATGTATGTTTTTAGTTTTAAATTACCTGGCAATAAATGTAAATTATAAAGTGACTTTGTAGGAGAAGTAAATCAAAGTGATGCGCGTTTTTGTAATGTATTTTAAGAGCTATCTTAGGCTGAGTTTAGCAGAATTTTTATTATGCATAAACTTTTCTCTTTAATTTTTGTCCTGTTCATTATTGTTTTTGATTACAAACGTTTGTAGCAAGCACTGTACATGATTTATTCACGCGATGTTGAGCATATGGGTGGTACGATTTCGAACGCTGCTAAGGCTGTAGAGGACATGGTTGATGTTAGCGTTGATCAGGTATTTCTTTACACGCTGCAGCAGGAAATAATAGATAAGTGTGCTTTAGGTTTTTGCTAAACATTGTAACTGCTTTTTTAAAGATTGAGCAATCATGTCATTTTTTATATTTGTTGCACCTAGGTGTTGGGTTCGAATGTGCGTGCAACGCTTCTCAAGAATCTTCATAATAAATCACTTGCTGAAGCAACCTTATCTCATCTTACACGTATTCCGAAAAACAAAAATATAAATGCAGTGGCTCGTAGGAAACACCAGATCACATACCTTGCTAGTGTTGTAAGTGATTTTTTGAATTCTAGTTTCAAATTTTGAATTGAATTATTTGATCAAAGTAATTTTTCTAGGCAGTTGCTAGGGAGGAACAGCTTGCTGAGCAGTGGTCTCAAAATCGACATAACAAACGGACGTCGGCAAGAAAATATGGGTTTTAGATAAGTGAAGATAATTATATTTTTTTTCACTGACATTCTTACGTGCTGTAATATCAAAATTTGGAATAGTGTGGACCATTTTCTCTTTCAAATGTTGCTAACAAATGTTCAGTGTTTGTCATCGAACCGCTACTACTTTAGTAAATAAAATTGAATGAGTATTTCTTGTTTCAGTAATGCTGAACTCTGTAACTGATACAGTTTCTTTTTGATTAAAAAATAATAATTTTAAGGAACTCGAATGATATTGTTATCAAGACCAAAAAAAGATGTAGTAAATATTGTTTTATAGTAAAATGGTGACGGGAGCATTGTCGATCCATTGAATTGTGCAAAAATGATCTCTTGAATGATAAAGATGTAGTGAAAATATAGTATGAATTTCGGATTGCTTTTCAAACAGTGATGAAAATTGAGATGAAGAAGTGTAATTGACTGGTATGAAGTCGCTGTGGAAACTAAAGAAGCTGGTTATTCTGATTTTCAGTGGGAAATTTGATCCAGATTTGTGCTTGTGAAATGACTGCATTGTTTCAGCAAAACATCAGTAAGCTAATAAACAAATGACACAAATCTCAATAATTGCACGGTGTGGGATTTGTATGTATTTTAAGAGTCGAGATGGCTACTACTGGGGGAATTAGTTGTCTGGGTCAAGTCAAGCATGGGTAATAATCATTCAGTATAAGGTGTGAATCATGTGTGAGAAAGTATTTTTCTCATAACTTGGAAGTAAGATTAACTGCTGAGTTGTCTTAATTCAATCACCAGGATTTGAAGTACATCTAAGTACATTTTACCTTCCCAGAATTTCAAGTGCTTTGTGGTGGGGGCTTGATACTTTGCAATATCTCTTGTTGTATTGGAATAGTGAAATACTCTTAACATAAAATCGGCTTTCAGGTCAACATCGTATTTAATTATATGAAAGAAAGAACATGAGAAGTGTGGACTATAATTACGTAGATTTTTTACTCAACATGAGTTGATATATTTGAAATTGTCTCTCAACTAGATCCATTACAGTTATGACATTGTTTAATGATCTAATATTTTGTGCATAAGTTCCTATAATATCCCTTCTTTCTTCTCAGTTCGTATTAAAATATTTCGGAAATGAATACAATTCGGGCTCGGATCATCATTGAATTGAAGAGGAAGGAAGCATATATGACTTTTTAGCATACTTTGTATTATGATTTCTCCAAGACTTAAAGATGTTTGATTAGTTTTTGAAAGGTTTCATTTGTAATTTACACCATAATTTGCAAAGAGGTTGTCAGATTTGGGCAGAGGTCGTTAAAACTTGGTTGGGAACATGCTAGATTATGAATGACTGTTTAAAATTGTTCTGTTTCGAAACTGAAAATAAGGTCTATATATTTATCCACTCGGTTGCTATGCATGGTCAAAATATAGCCTTGAGAGGAGGACTGAACTTCGAAAATCAGTGGTGAAAATAGTTGGGCTGACATAAATCGAAATTGTGTAAAAAACAATTTACAAGCACATGACATTGCAATCAGTTTTTCTTGGGGGTCTTTTATAAAATTTCCTCCGAGAATTTCATGTTGCATATTAATACGGTGATGTATCATAACAATTAGATATATGACATACAGAAGGTTACTTTGTATCAAAAATATGAGTGACAACCAAATTATAAACGATTTATGTCTAAAATATTAGGTGTACTTCATAGTAGTTGCTGTTTATGATAACATACGAAACTTGAGTTGCTTTAATGTTTGAAAGAATTTTCAAAGAAAAAAATGCTGACTTCTGATATATAAAAGGAAATGATTTTGCTATTATATTATTGTTGATGACAACTTCTGTGAATCACTTATACTATTACAAATACTAATAAATTTGTATTATTATAGATGCTAAAAAAGGATAACGTATTACAGTAGTAGTACTTAGTCACGATGTCATGAACACTACAAAAACATCACAAAAGAGTTCTTCGTTGTTAGATCACCAATTCAAGACGGATGATAAGACTGACAAGATCTGTCAGCGTCGTCTGCCTCATACCAGTTGATTTAAAGCTTAATTCAAGGAAGTGAATTGCACTATTCTTAATGTTAATTGATTTTTTAAAAAAATATTGGAAATGCTCCAGAAATGGATTTCTTATGTCTGCATGTACATTGCATAGAAACTGCTCTACTCAGAATATAAAATGTGTTATGAATTTAATAAGCTCCCAATTCCTTAGCACATGGATACATCTGATCTATTTTTGTTTATAGTTTAGACTTATAAAACTGTAACCATTGTTCTGACAGATTTTTGTAACACTGCGAAAAGAATTACGAGCAAAAAAAATTTATTGCATTAAGACGACTCAGACATAAATTGCACTTAAGGATAGTCCAAGCGTTAAGAAGACAGAAATGATGCAAAAATATATTTATAAATCAGATATTATGTACTAAACAGATGACGACGTTCAGAGAAAAATCGCACTAAGGAAAAGTCACTGATGGAACAATGCACTTCTTTTAACTACTTTGTGGTTATTAAATCTGAGGCTCTATTTACTCATGTCAATGGAGCAAATTGCAACATTTACAGAGGAGAAAATCATTTTTTTTTGAATATAAATCTGGACTAGGTAAGACACAGATGATCCTCCGAATCACGCTGCAAGCTTACCCTAGAAATATGAACTTGGTGGTTAATAGTAATAAAATTTAAAATCATAAATGACCTTGCAATACATTAATATTAAACTTTATCCTCCATCATATTCATTAATATTTTTGAATAACAGGATAGGGAAAAGATGGTAGATAGAGTAATGCAGAACTCGATTGAATGAACAATAGCTATTGATAGTCATATCTGATTATGCCTGAGAAACTGCAATCCGATATCTTTTTTCCATGTAAAAAATCGTTTTGAAATGTTGAGGAAATATTTGACATCACGACCGAAAAAGTAATCCTTTAATGAAGCTTTGGAACTTATTAAAGAACTTAAAAGATTTACCAAACATTAATGATACTGATCACGTTATTTTGTACTAGTATATTGGATCTGCTTAGCAATAATAAAATGAAGTTTAAAAAAATATTAGGTTACTATATATCAGCTCCATGAAAAAGTGGAGACATCTAATCACAACCGAAAAAGTAATCCTCTAATTCTCAATTCGATCAACGAGATAGTGATAAGAAAGCGATAGATATGATTTTATCAATGTACCGAATTTGCATCTTTACATTTTGGAAGTAAGTGTTGCTGCTTTTGTACATTCAAACCGAAGCCTGTTTTAAAATGCATCAATATGCAACAAAATCACTAAAGTATCAAAATGAATCGGAGAGAGTTACGTGTAATTTTACTCTCATTCCATTGTTATCACAACTGACTTCTTTTACTGTTTGCTTTCCAAAATTTTAGCTAAAACACTAAAAAAAATTACACGTAACTCTCTCCGATTTTAGGAAATACTTTTTATCGAAGAATTTATATTACAATAACTGTACGATAAGAATTGAAGGGCTCACAATTGTTGATTTTCCTCTCGATGTAGTATTTTATTTCATCCTCTTTTAACAATTTCCTGCAGAGTCGATATAAAGAAATGAGTAAATTTCACTCGCTTTTAGAAGCCTCCTACATAGTCAATATGATAAGATACATATTCTAACATTTCAGCAGTTTTACTTTCATGCTATTATTCAAGAATGAGAAAGAGATTTTGCGAAGAGAATACATGCTCCCTCGGAAAATTATGCATTTTTACTCATCGGTAGTGTACCACTGCAAAAAACAAAATGAAGAAGATTAAAAAAGCTTTTCAATTTTTCATCATATGAGGCAATGAAAATACTAAAACAATTGCTTGATAAAAAAATCTGCTTGATGTTTGAAAAAGAAGTTTGGTTTTCTGACAAATGGAGAAGAAACTGCTTGTGCAAATATGATTAAAAAAATTCATCCTGCTTTCAAACTACGAGAAAATAAGAAGTGACTTCCGGTTGAAGAAAACTAAGTTACTATTATGGAACAAAAAATAAAATATAGTTTACACCTCAATCAATTATTCCAACAACTTAGCAGGTTATGAGCAACATCAGTAAAACATTATATATATTGCCGTCTAGAACTCCATAAAATTATGAATGGCAATTACTGATTAATTCTGATGTAACCCATATTATATTTACTATTGCATATAAGAAATTTTTTTTTGTTTTGAGGTTTTTGATTAAAATGTGTTTACGCCTAATTGATACTGCTCGCAATCTGCTACTGCATGACAGAGTCATATATATAATAATCATTTTTTATATTTTTGCATGTTAAGTGCTCTCTAAAATCTTTGCCCAAGTTTTATTTCATTGTACAGAGAATATATTTTGCTTTGCTTTAATCATCTGAATAATACTCTATTAATTTAAACTAGTGTTCATTGTACTAGTACTGATTAAAGTTCAATGATTTAAAGATACAAAATAGTTTACAGTTTCAAATAGAAGTAGTACCGAAGAATGATGCTAAGCTGAAATACAACAGTTTGCAGATAGCTGGAAAAAAATGATGCGATGTTTTTCTAGATATCAAAAGGATCAAGACTTAGTTATAATTTGGTGTGTATAAAACAAAGCAAGTGAATTAAATGAACTGTGGTGACGATTAAGAAATGAGATACATTTCCCTTATCACACGTCACGTCACGTCACGGTTCAGGTGGGTAACAGCAGTGATATGAGTGCAGAGAATTTCTTATGTAATATTGCATTGCAGTGCTGTCAGCTAACTTAAAGTATAGTAGTAGTAGTATAATCGTGATGATACTAATGAAACAGTAATGTGAAGCAAACAAAATTAAACAAAGGATGAGATGTTTGTTTATGAAAATGATAGAGAAAATAATAGACGAAAGAAAGAATATGCATGTAATTAGTGTGCATATAAGCTTTTCATAAAAGACTACAGCACAGGATAAGAAAATGCATGTATGCATGGGATAGCCGTTCGTAGCTGTTTGAGTGTTTTAGAATGAACGCTGCTAGATACAACTAGATTTTAGTGAACAAGAAAGAAGAGAAAAGAAGAGTATGAGATGAGAAAAGCTGCTTTAAGAAGAGACTGTTTAAGGTTGTAGGTAATACGAGATGATGTGATGTAGCGAGCAAATGGGTGAACTAAAACTTACTACGAGTACCACAAATCAGGTCAATTCAATTGCATGCTGTATTGCAGAAAGATAAAGATGTAAGCAACTGAACAATTGCAGAGCAGATAAGTAGTGACGAAGATGAAACAAGAATTAGCTGCTTAGCAGAGTTTGAGACTAATGCCAGAACGGTTGCCATGCCTGACAGCAAAGCAACCTTTTTCACTTGTCCCTTGTAAACGGGTCCAATATCGTCCTTTGCTAGGCAGCTTTAGATGCACGCATTAACTCCATTCATTCAGTTATTCATTAATTTATTATTCACCTCATAGTTTTAGTATGAGTTATCACTGTAAAGTAGCAGCAAGATGTCATGTAAAATAAAAAGGTGACAATTTTATTTTAGCATAGCTTACTGGAAAAGCAAAATTAGCTTACTGGAAGAGCAAAAAAACATACCTAAGTCTGCCCTGACTTAGGAACCATTATTCATCGCAATTTTATTCTTCTTCAAGACATCTCATTTCTCCTCTCTCCTCACTACTTTCATCATTCCAGACAACAACAACAACAACAACAACAACAACAACAGCAGTAACAATAGTCATCATCTTCCTCATCACTTAACTCTCTTATTATTCGTATCATTTAAGACCCCAGAAGTCATCATTTTCAGTAACTACTCTTTTCATCTTTCATCTTTTATTTTCCCTTTTACTTGTACTCAATATTATTGCTTTCTTCATTACTCTTAAAAAATATAACGACACCTGGAAGCTCTAGTAGATATACTAGTTCAGCTAAAATTTATCAGCCACTAATTATAGTGATCAACTAAATTCTGCAGCGCAATTACTAATTATTTTATTTTTGTAGGCACATTATCGAGCATTGTGATAATGCTTTCGTTACCTATAGTCACCTTATGATGATATGATCATAGTCACTAATTTTATCATGGAAACTTTCTAACTAAATCACACTTGTTTAATTCTATTGAACTACTTCTCTTTATTACATTTTGGCCTTTCTACTAAACCTTGGCAGTTTGGCTCAACATCTATTGCTGCTGCAAATTAACATATTACGGTTTTTTGTCTGTGCTATCGTTACTGGATAAATTACCTACGAATTCATTATTGTCATCATGGGACACTGTTCTTCGCGTGATCAAAAGGATCAGAAAAGAATGAACCGTCGGATCGACGAGCAAATCAAGAAAGATCAGTCAATTTCCCTTCGAATTATCAAACTTCTTCTATTGGGTATGTTTGATTGTTTCGATTAAGAAACTGACTTCATATCTTGTTAATGCAATAAAATCTCATTTGTTATTGAAACTTCCTAAAGAGTATAAAACTGTGTATATAAAAAATTTACTTTTACGTAAACAGCAATTGAACACTCTTCCTTTCTTGTCAGAGTGCGAAGTTCACTTTGTTCTATATTCCAGTACTTATTCTTGATGAAAAAGAAACTTCTATTTTATAAATGGCCATACTTTGTAAATGGTTTTAGTCATCTGCATGCAGATCTTGTCACTTTCATCTTTCATTTAACCGTTGAATTTCAAATATGAGATCATTTGAAGCATTTTTGATAAAAAGCCGTATTAGTTTCAAAAATTAAGACCAATTTCTTCATCATTAACAGTGAAAATATTATAGAGCAATTGCTTGAAACGGTTTCGCTATTAAAATGTATTAGAAATAAAATTCTAGTGTGTGATTAACTCTGACCTAGAAATTACTTAATTACACTGGAATTAATCAATAGTGTTTTTATTGTTAGAGTCTTTGGGATTAAGATGCTAATAGCTACTTACAAATATTTTTAAAATATTCATAGTGGTACTTTTACTAGCAAAACAGATTTATGAATTTTTTAATGCATCAATTTCAAAGGTATCATAAAATATCAGAAATTTACTTGGTTAAAAATCATATTGTGTTGTTATTATAAAAATATTTCGTTTGTTTCAGTGATGAAGTCATCATCAATGTAGTTGATACTAAGAACAGATTTGTTTCGTTTACGCTTTCATTACATTTTTTATTCTTTTTTATTCATTCAGTCAGATTGTGGAATACAGTGAACCTATTTTTTATAAACTTATTTCGTGTTCTCTTTTTTATTTTTGTTTTCACTTGTACATTTTTGTTTAATCTTGTTAATCTGGGACATGCTTAACATCTAATTTAGTTTGTAAAAAAAAATTGAGGCATATTTGTTACAGCATTTTCATATTACTTAATTTAGAAACGGCATATTGGGCATTGCAATTGTGTAAATACGATGACAGCAAATTTCTCATTATACTTTCACAGATGCAAGCATATTTATCATCATATTTTATTTATGTTATCAATATCAACAGAGACATGGCACAGTGTGTAGTGGTGCTTAAAAATTGAAATTAATTGCTTCTTGTTAAAATTCTGCTTCATTATAAGTTTTAAAAGTAATTGTTGTCAAAGCTTATTTTTTAAAGATTTTCATTAGGACTGTATTTCAATTACACATTATACGATAAAGACTTGCAAAGTACATATCATAGTTTAGATGGACAATTTGATGTGCTGAACGAACCCACTACAATCAAACGCAGTTTTTTGAAACTTATTTTTAAAGTATACATGTAACTAGTCTTCATGAGTGTAAATGCTATTGTTTATACTTATTTGTTATCAATTTCAAAGTTACTATTAAGATAGTACTTCTTTGCAGGAAAGCATAAAAAAGTTGCTAATTGACAGCACGATAATTTATTGAAAAGCTTTGATAATCATTATAATTTTAGAAAAATTTAGCGATAGCACTGTTCTTTCCAGCATAAATTTCATTTTCGTCTCCGAATTTTATGTGAAGTCATATGAATATTTTGCTTACTTTGTTGCGTCGATTTTGGGCATTTTTGAACGACTGCTAGTTAATCTCGCAAATTTTTATATTAAAAAAGTTTTTGAATAAATTTCTATATCAAAAATAAAATATGAGGGTGTAAAAAACTCACTCGCAATATCTAGAAAGTTGAATATTTTTTATTATTAATTATTGGAAAGAATTTGTTATTCATGGAATGTGCGTTGCAAATGTTTTTATTTCGATTACGTACTGTTAGGTAGTTTTAGGTATTTGACCCCAATAAATGTTACCTAGATTTTTATATTTTATCTTTTTATGCTAGCTTACCTGAATGTATCGTCAAATATTTTGCAGTAGTTAGCGTCTAAATTGTTTGGAAAATAATCTTTGTGGCAATGTCGAAATTATGCCAAAGTACAGTAATAATTTCGCTTCATTTTTAAATTTCTTGTATCCATAATAATTTTACTTCTGCTCAAAAAGAACACAGATGACTCTGTAAGCAACTAGGCGTGACCAGAATGATTAAGTATTTATGATAATTCAAAGTCGATTAACTGTTATCAAAGGTCAGCAATAAACTGAATAGAATTTTGGAAATTGCGCGTTAATAATTGTTTTTTCCTCAAAAGTATCTACGATTTTTGTTGCTTGTAGTAATCTAGAAAGAACTATGTAAATGAAAGTTTTTATGCACTTCTGACTCGTCAATACTCCAAATTCATCAGCAATTCCAAAATTTTAAATTGTTCTAAGTCATTAATAGAAGCATAAGACTTAAAACCGGAAGTCGTTGGGAGTTATTAGTAAAATAAATGCATTGTATCACAAAAGCTTTAATACTGCTACTCATCCGCAGTCAGATTTCATGATATCAAATTTGAGCAAAAGTTGCAAGCTACCAATCAATTCTTTATTCTTCCTTTATTCTTTATAATTTACTTGTAAGCCGCCAATATTTGATTTTATTTTAAAGTTTAAGCTGCAGAAGGTTAAAGTTCGTTAATAGTTTTAACATATTTTAATACTATTACTACATTAAGCGCAAACAATATGCATCATTTTTTCATTAATTTTTTGAAGGTTTCATTTAGCATCAACTTCTTTTCTTTTGATGCTTTGCTTTAAAATACAAAATATAATCATCACATATTGTAGGGGCTGGCGAGAGCGGAAAAAGTACTATACTGAAGCAAATGAGGTTTGTGAAACATGCTGTTTCATTGCTAATGATAATATTTCATTTTAACTTGAACCTTTGAGTTGTCATCACTTAATTAGCTTCTATCTCGAAAATTGCTCCAAATAAATTGTAAATAAGATATATATACATATTTTACATCCTTAGATACACTTCCGTAGAATGCATATTTTACTACCTCATTAGTCTTTTCGTTCTTAAAAACTTACTAAACATAATAAGCCCTGATATTCATTTATTAACATTGATCTGTTGGCTTTTGCTCCACTGAATGATAATAACTTACATTCAGGATTTTGCATAAAAATGGATTTTCACAACACGACTTGGAAATGATAAAACCGGTAGTTTATAGCAACTGCATACATTGCATGCTAGCAATTCTCAGGGCAATGTTTCACTTGCAAATTGAATATGAAGACCCCGAGAGAGTGGTTGGTATTTACAATACCATTATACGAACAATCTCTCATAATCTTTGCATAACTGGATGAGCTGCTCATATTTCTTTGGAAAGATTGTTTCATTGCAATGTCATCAAAACACTTGAATGTAGTAGGAATACTACATCTAGAAATTCAATCTTTAGAGATTTCTAGATGGAATATTCCTGATTATGAGTAAGAAGAATTATGATCAAGTCCAAATTTCTGATAATGCAAAAAAAATATAGCTGTCTTTGTTAAATATTATTATTTGCATTATCTACTCAACGAGTGCTTGCCATAGTTTTTGCAGAGATAAATTTGGTTTATTAACTCTGTATTGATCTGTATGAGCTGCTCATATTTCTTTGGAAAAATTGTTTTATTGCAATGTCATCAAAGCACTTGGTTTTGGTTTTTACTTGTAAATATATTTGCAGGGATTAATCATATTACTTGTTTCCCATCAAAAACTCTTTTTAATATGGCTGTCCTGTCCTTAAGTTCATTTTTATCTTAGCCTTATTATAAGGGAGATAACTGCTGTTACTTTGTAGTTGTGGACTAAAAACTGACCAAGTTATGTGTATATTATTCATAAATTATGAAGATATTGTATATGAAGATCAAGATAGTAGTAATATTTTGAGATTTAATGATGATTAAGTTGCATTTGTGAAATGACATGGGTCTTGTGCCTATTATTGAATTTCAGTACTAGCACTCACTGCATTTAGTATTAGGAACTGAAATGAAAAAACTGAACCAACCACACTGTACCTTCCTAAAGATTCCTTATTTCACATAAATGCAAAAATTAACTTGTTTCGTCGAATACTTTATATAATCAGCAAAGAGGAGGGTATCACTGAAAAAAGTAGTGCTTAATGTTAATGGACATAGGAATTGAATTATGGATGGATTTACAGCGTGATCGTCAAGTTGTTTTCGCTACTGTGCATGCCAACAAGGAGGAACTTGTTGAAGAATTATCTGCAGCTATGCAACGTCTGTGGGCTGATGGTGGTGTGAGGGAGTGTTACAAGCGTTCCAATGAATATCAGATCGATGATTCTGCTAAATAGTTCGTCATTTATGTTCAAGATTAATCTGAATTATATACACGTTATTTTTGTATTATAAATGAAAAATTGTTGGAAAAAAATCCTACATCAAATTGAAATTTTTTCGCACCAGAAATATGTAGGAAATCAAAGTATAAAAGTTAATAAGATCAAGAATTCAAAATTTTTTGTTTGTAGCAATATTTCGAAACCAAACAATGTTATCAAACATTATAAATGTTGCAGTTTCTTAGACAATTTACCAAGGTTAAGCTCCCCAAACTATGTACCTACAGAACAAGACTTACTAAGGACAAGGATTAAGACGACAGGAATAACTGAAGTACTTTTTGAGCTCAAAGGACTTACATTCAGGTAGACTACTTGTTTGAACTGCATATATCAGCATCTAATTAAAATACCTGCTCAGATTTTGGGTAGGATGACTTATCCACGTAAATAGAAATAAATAGAAATTAGGATGGTAGATAAAATACCAGGCTCTGTAACACTGCATTGTTCAAGTGATTCTTGTAGTTTGATCTCTTTAAAATTAAATGTAAGCAAGTAGTTTTTGCTGTTTAAATTTCAGAGTGATTGATGTTGGTGGACAACGCTCTGAAAGAAAGAAATGGATTCATTGTTTTGATAATGTAAATGCTATTATATTTATATCATCGTTATCTGAATATGATCAAGCACTACGAGAAGATAATTGCACGGTACTATTATTTTCATAGTTACTTATACCAACATATTTTAGGGATTTTGAGGAAACTGTTAAAAAGCTTACATCAAAGAAAAGAAGCATTTTAAGAAGTAAAGAGGAAATAGGATGCTACATTGAATGAAACTGTTTCAGAATAGAATGCAAGAGAGTTTGAAACTTTTTGATTCAATATGTAATAGCCCATGGTTTGCGGACATTCACTTTATATTATTTCTGAATAAAAAAGACCTTTTCGCTGAAAAAATCTCTCGGTCACCTCTTACGATATGCTTTCCAGAATATAAAGGTTTGTTATGTTTCCATCTCATCGATTTACTTTCTATTATGGGTCTCTTCTCAATGAATATAGTACATTGTAGGGCAACAAAATCAAACAGAATGTATCAATTACATACAGTGGAAATTCGAACAGCTGAACAGGTTTTCAGTTTTACCTAATTTTGTCAAACCTTCAAATGTGTAATAAAAATGAAATGAAAAACACTATCATAGTGTCTTCTCAGATTCAAATTCTCTTTTTGCAACCTGAAGATTCTAACTATAATCAATTACTTTTTTGTCAGAATCATGATTAGGATCAGCTTCGTTATAATTTCATGTGCAGTGCTACATCGTCTGTGAGGTCCATTGTTATTTGTCACATATGTAAGACAACTTTTAAAAATCTTAACCGGCTTGTTGATTAATATCAACTCATCATTTACTTCGCTTTTTAGGTCTCCACAGCGGGAAATATACTGTCATCATACATGTGCTACAGATACGAACAATGTGCAATTTGTTTTGGATGCTTGCCTAGATATGATTATTGCAAGGAACCTGAAATCAATGGGTCTTTGTTGAATGATGTCCAAAAAATAGGATTTTGATGCATCTCTGATTCTTTATTTGAAATGTTTGAATACTGAATATATTAACTGTGTAGTAGGTGCCATAAGTTTATCTCACTCCATTCATTTGCTAAATTAATTGATAGAAAGCTTTACAAGTCTTATCATTATTGTGTAATAATAAACTAAACCAGCACAGATCAAAACACTAATCAAAACAGTGAATAGACTTGAAATTTTGATGATCAAGTAAGTGAATTCTGAGAAGGTTAGAGAAAACAAGTGGTATTTGAATATCAAACAATTAATTGTGGTGATATTAGCAAATATAATTGGCAGTTTATGAGCATCAATGAATCCTAAGCCATTGGTCAGTCTAATCATTTTCGCTGATTAAAACTGTAACATAATAAAAGATCAGTGGCTCCATCCCAGTTCCCTGCCATAATTTATATTTGATTATATTCTTGTTCTCATTTTTTTTATTACCTTACTATTATGCATCAGTAGCACCGTGATCTCATTATCTACAAATACATGTAGTGTTTGATTCCTATGTTTGAGTTTCGATCACCTGTCGTCATGAAGTGTATTTGTGCAACGGCGTAAATTGCATTATTGTTATAATTGTCAATGGATAAAATGGCTCAACTCGACCATCCACATCGAAATTTTATATGGCAAAGAATTTAAATTTTGGATAATAATAATCAGTAGGTTCATATTCACTCTAACCTTATCGATACTAATCACTTCTATAATTAGAAATTAATTTCCATATACCACTGCAGTGCTAAGTAATGTTGCATGATGTGGTCGAAATGTTTTTACAGCAGTTTCACGACGACTGGAGTACTATTATTTAGAAGATACTAGATATAAATCTTAAAATAGTCGTAAAGTTTGGAAACTTTCTTAGAAAATTTAATTGACTAAATTATTGCAAGGGGTATCATGAAAGATTTTAGGCGGTCAAAATTGTGCGAATATTCAATATTCAAATGTTTAAGTGAGGCATTACTGTGCTCTATGTTTATTTCGTATGTTGTAGCTTTTCCAAAGCAGAGGCATTGCTAATCTCGGAAACTCACATATTGATTTTGTAATTGGATATTTTAGCTGTAATGGAACAGTGGGATCTTTCACCACCATTTTTTGTACAAATATCCACATTTCCGATGTTTTCATAGATCTCAATCGAAGACGAGCCTTTGAAATTCCAGTTTTTAGTTTTTTGAGTTTTTCAGTTTTAGGAATTAATTTCCATATACCAGAAATTTCATATCTCGAATAGGATAGTTCGCACGATCTATAATTTCTTCATACCAACGATAAATGTGCTCCTAACGATCTTTTTTTTGTTCCTGAAAATTTCTCGTAAAAAATGTGCTCATCCAGTAATAAAGTACTAATATTAATTAATGATAGCAATAAAATTAATTCGGAATATTAGTTGTGAAAGCAACTGTGCTTGTTGTCGTTTCCTTTGCACGCACATAAGTTTAATTCTTGGGAAATTTTATCAAAATTTTCTGAACACTATTATTGCAAAGTTATTGAATAAAATTTTTCAAAGAGGTGCTTATAGCATTACGTGAGAAATGCAGTGAGCAGTTTTAGTTATGCTACGAATATGTACGTGGAAAAAAAATGCTCCACTGATGGAAAATCAGGCTCAAGTAGTTGTTTTTCGTTAAAACAACAAAAAGTTTGTCTCTCCTCTCATATCTCTTGGCAAGGTTGATTGCATTGGCGTAATCATTGCCCGTTTCTTCAAATGCCATAATCAAACGATCTAAGGAGGAGCCTTTGGTGAGTAGGTCTTATTTAAGGGCCTGAAATCATGAAATGCTGCTATGAATATTCTTCACTGCCCAGTAAAATGACCAATAGCATTTGCTGTTAGAGTTTTTGCATCATTTGCATTTCTTTTTCTTCTACGTATTCTCACTTGCATTACAATTGCTTGGCTTTACGCTGCCTCTAGCTTTACTTCCCTTGGTTTTACATATCTAGTTTAGCATTTACTTATATGGAATAGTTCTCTCTGATTCCTCGGTACCAACTGTTTGCTTCTTTGTGGGATTCAGTAATGCCGCTGCAACCCTAGGGATTTGTCTCTCTTAGTCGTCAGTAGTCAGCCATGCATACATTCACTCGAATCTATGTAAATTTATTTTCCATTTACTGGCTTTACAATTTCTGTCCATCGATGATAATTATATATATATATATATATATATATATATATATATATATA